CCTAGGGTTACTTGAGATCACTGGTGCATGGGAAGGGAAAGAAAAAAAAAAAAGAAGCCTGGTGGCAAGGAGGAGACAGCCAGGAAAGAGAGAGAGACAGAAACCTGGGAGCTTGAGGCTGGAAACTGAGGCAGACAGCTGAGATATTGGAGGAGGCAGATAAGTGGTGGCAAGGAGAAGACAGCCAGGAAAGAAACTGAGGCAGAAACCTGGTTGCTCAGGGGAAAGGCAGTGGGGATAAGACAGTGGCAAAGAAACGGAGGGTTTGGAGGCAGAGAGGAGCTCAGGACAGGTGCTGGAGGTGGCAGTGAGCCAGAAGGAGAGGGAGAAATGAAACAGAAGTTAGAGGAGCAGAGATTGGAGCAGGGCTGAACCATAGTAAAGCAAAACCCAACTCAGGGGTCCAAATAACAGGTTAATTAAACAGACAACACGCCACACAGCCCCATGAAGTTATTGGTTCACACATGCACGCACACCAGCGCTTACAATGGCAGCAGGAGAAAGACTCAGGAGAAGGGCTGGAGTCCAGGTAGGGAAGAGAAAGAGAGTCCAAGTGCTTGGTTGAAGGTGGGGGTGGTGATAGCTACCTACCCAGGCTGGAAAGGGGTCTTTGTCCAGTAGGTATTGTCCAGAGGGGAGTCAATGGCAGGGCCTCTGGGTGGATAGGTGGTGTGGCATGGTGCTGGTCCAGATGGAGAGGGCAGCCCAAGGAGCCAGTCTTCACTACCCGTTTTTATGGGGCAGACTACCTCTGATCTCCCATGGGGAGGGCCTGTCCAGGCAGTGTCAGTCCTGTCCCAGAGGGTTCCAGATGTTCTTACTGTGCATGTGCAGCCTTGGCACAATGGTGGGTTGCCTCATCTTTTGTTTCTTGAATGCTGAGGTTCATTGGAGTAGTTCCAATGGCTGGGTTGTTGGTCCAGGTATTGGTGTTGATGGTTTGGTCATTCAGAGGGAGCTATTTTTAGACCTACTGCCATTGTCTCTCAAGTACCCTCATTCATCCCCATTCGTTCAGGAACCAAGTTACATAGGAGGGGTAGGTTTGATTCATGGGTTACACAACCAGGCATGGGGATAAGATGGAGGCTTGACATTACAAGATGGAAATTTGACATGACTTTAACTTACATATATAGGCCTAAAAAAAAAAAAAAAAAAATCAATACAAATATAACAATTATCAGTTATAAAACAGATATCAAAATAGCAGGGCACTTATTTGTAAAGAGGGGAGAGAAAAATAAAACTTACTACCTAAAATAAAATGTTAAAGCTTATCCTACATCTTAGCTTACTTATACTTATCTATAGGGAATAGAGAGGGAAAGAAAAAAAAAAAAGTCAGAAATGGTTGGGGAAGGGGAGGGAATGTATTTTAAAATGAATTAAAAAAAGGAAAAAAATGGGGGTTTTGTTACACCCTACTACATGCAGCTGCCGTGATTCCATTAGAAGTCCCCTGCTTGTGTTTCATAGATTCAGATTGTAGTCAGAAGGGACCACAAAGGATCATTTCCTGGCAGGAAAGAGGACCAAGGTCAGATGACCCCAGCCAGGTGTCTATCAAGCCTCCTCTTGAAGACCTCCAAGTTAGGTGAAGGTTTGGTAATTTGGTGTTGTGGCAGCCAGCTCCATTGCACAGGGCTTCCTCCAGAGGTGCATGAGTGCTGAGAGCTGCATGTGTGCCTTGTGGAGCACTGTGCGATACAGGCGTGCCAGCTGGGCTGCACTCCTTGCTGCCACGTGCAGTGCTGGCCGGAGCAGCGAGCTGAAGGGCAGCAGCACCATGAGTGCCCCAAGGGCACTTCTGCTTCTGCCACCAGCAGCAGGGGCTGTGTGCCATAGTGGGGAATGTATAGAGGGTCCCCACACCCCCACACCCTCCCTCACACCCCACAAATGCCACACACTCAAACCCTGCCCCAAGAGCCCCCCCACATATACATCCACCCACACACACAGCCACTCACACCCCACCATACACACACCCTCAACCGCACCCCACAAACAATATACAAGAGCAAGACTTTATTTTTGACCTATTATGAGTCACCTCTATATATACACTACATAAACAAATCATAACAAAATATTTTTTGCAATAAAATTAAAATGTTATAGTAGATGTTTGACTTTTAGTATATAATTTGGTTTTTTTCTGGTTCAGATGGCAACCCCCCTTCCCAAAAGGAGTATGTCTAGAGGCAAGGGGAGGGACTTCCAGTGGCAAAAGTCAAGGGTAGAGAGGCAGCACTTCCAGTCTCCAGATGGCGACCAGGGAGCAGGGCACCTGTCAAGGGACAGAGCTAGCCTTGTGGCCTTCAACAGCTCACCAAAACTCTTTAAGCAGCCCTCCAGCTGAAATAATTGCCCACACCTGTATTAGAGCATGAATCTGCAGTTCATATTTATCAACTGAATTAAAGATTTAGGGTCTGATCCCAATATATTTAATATTTCAAAATGCAAACTTTACATATTGTTTTAGAACTACTACATATGAAACCTTACTTTAGCATTTCCAAATTTTAGCATGTTTCATAGTATCATAGTAGCTAGGGTCAGGAGGGACCTGAACAGATCACCTAGCCTGCCCCCCTGTCACAGGCAGGAATGAATGCTGGGTTCACAAGACCTCAGACAGGTGATCATCCAACCTCCTCTTGAATTTGCCCAAGATAGGGGGGAAGACCACTTCCCTGGGAAGTTGGTTCCAGATTTTGGCCACCCTAACTGTAAAATATTGCCTTCTGATCTCTAACCTAAACCTATTCTCCATCAGCTTATTACCATTGTTCCTTGCCACCCCAGGTGGTGCTGGGGAGAAAAGGGCTCCACCTATTTGCTGTTGATCTCCCCTGATGAGTTTATAGGCAGCCACCAGATCCCCCCTCAGCCTCCTCTTGCCAAGGCTGAACAGGTTCAGGTCCCTCAGTCTTTCCTCATAGGTCCTGTCCCGCTGCCCTCTCACCAAGCGGGTGGCCCTCCTCTGAACCCTCTCCAGGCTGGCCACATCCCTTTTGAAGTGTGGCACCCTATACTGGATGCAGTACTCCAACTGCTGCCTGACCGAAGTCGCATAGAGGGGGAGTAGCACCTCTCTGGACTGGCTTGAGATGCATGACAAGGTATGGCTGGCCTTGCTGGTTGCGGTCTGGCATTGGTGGCTCATGTTCATCTTGGAGTCAATAATGACTCCAAGATCCCTTTCCGCCTCTGTGCTTTCAAGAAGGGAACTCCCCAGCCTGTATGTATGCTGTGGATTCCTTCTCCCAAGGTGCAGCACCCTGCATTTCTCTACGTTGAACCCCATCCTATTCTCGTCTGCCCACTTTTGTAGTCTGTCTAAATCTAGTTGCAGCCCCTCTCTCCCTTCAAGTGTGTCCACCTTGCCCCACATCTTAGTGTCATCAGCAAACTTGGACAACGTGCTTTCCACCCCCTCGTCCAATTTGGGCAATTTGCAGCTAGTTCTGGCAACCTAGTTTACATACAAGAAATAAAAGAAAGGGAACTCCTATTGAGAGCTGAAATGGAGAGAGGCTGTGGAATTTCCATCCTTGAAGGTTTCTAACACCTGGATGGACAAGGTCATGGTTGGCACGATCCAATTGGAGATGGTCCTTCTTTCAGCAAGGGGTTGGACTAGAAGACCTCCTCAGCTTCCTTCCGAGCCATGCTGATTGCCCCTGAGCATGATCTCCTCTGCAGGCCCTGCACAGATGTGCTCCTTGATGATTCTCTCCAAGATCTTCCCGAGCACCAAGGTGAGGCTTACAGGCCTATAGATACTTGGGTCCTCCTTCCTCCCTTTCTTGAAAATTGGGACCACATTAGCCAGTTTCCAGGCCCCCAGTACCTGGCCAGATGACCACAAATGCTCATATAGCCAGGCCAAGGGCTTTGCGATGACCTCTGTCAGCTCCCTCAACACCCTTGGGTGGAGGGCATCTGGACCTGCAGATTTAAAAATGTCTAGCCCTTCCAGAAGATCCCTAACTACATTTGCACTGACTGAAGGCTTGATAGAGCTATCCCCAAGATTGTCCCTACCTCTGGTAGGTGGGATATCCCGGTCCCTGTTCAAGAAAACAGAGGCAAAAAAACTGTTAAAAATATCAGCTTTCTTGTCTGGCATAGCCACAAGATTACCGTTTGCTTCTTCCAGGGGCCCTACATTGCCGGGTGCCCTCTTCTTGCTCCCAATGTATTTGAAAAAGGACTCTTTGATGTCTTTAATCCTAGCCTGAGCTCCATCTCTGCCTTGGCCTTTCTAATAGCCCTCTTAGATTCACGGGCTGAGGAGGAGTACTCCTCCTTGGTGATAGCTCTTCCCTTCCACTGGTTGTATGCCCCGCTTTTAGTCCTCAGGCATTGCTGAATGCCCTTGCTGAGCCAACTGAATGCCTTTGCCGTGTCAAGTGGGTTTCTGAGCACTCTTAACCCCTTTGCTTCTCTCAGGGACTGTTACCCTTTGGGCCTGGAGGATTGTCCCCTTAAGGTATGACCATCCCTCGTGGACTCCCACCTCCTCTACCTTCTGGGCCCTCAGTGCCTCCCCCACTAGTCTCCTAAGCTCATTGAAGTTGGCCCTTCTGAAGTCAAGGGCTTTAGCCTTGGTGTAAGCCCTTGACGCCCTGCGTTGGATAGTGAAATCCAGCAGGTGATATCGCTATTGCCCAGGTGGTCAAGGACCTGCAGTTCCCTCACCAGGTCATCCCCCATGGCCAGGATCAGGTCCAGCAAGGTGTTACCCCTTTAGTGTGCTCTTACTGACCTTTTATCACATACTTACAGTTATTTAAATCTCTCCTATGGAAGCTTCCCTTCTACTTCAGGTGCTGTCTGTAACATACTCAGCTCCACTCAAAGAACATGTCAAATTAAACCTGATCCTGATTACACAGAACTCAAAGGGAATATGGGACTTTGGGTCAGATCTGGATGCACAGCACAGAAGTTTCTTTGTAGTCTATTATTCATAAATCTCTTACCTGAAGAACAACAGCACACCCTTTCATTTCCACTGCACTTTTTGAATATGTAGGCTGAGTGCTGGGCATTGACACTGCCAGGGCTAGAGTTGGATCACACATCAAATGAAATGTCCTAAAGTACAAAAAGTGATAGTGACTTCAATGTTAAATTGCAAATATATTTATGGCAGTCTAATGAATTTATGCCTTTTTCCTAAATGGATGTTACAGTTGGAGGGTCTGAACAATGACACGGTGGGCGCATCTATATGTTTCCCTAAGGCGCCGTTGTTACTGTGGCATTATTTACTACTTCCTTTTGGAAAGTACTAAATGATGGTGCAGTAACAGCCCATACTGTGCCATGCTGGCAGCATACGGTTATTTTTAGCCCCTATATCACCACAGCAATACACTATAATGAGGGAGCACGTTGCTGTGGCGATGTAGCTGCAGAGCCATGGTTTGTGTCCACAGACACTACATTGCTGTAGTGCATTGCTACAGCAACTTAGTGTCACATGTAGACATGCCCGGTAGTGTTTACTTCTATAAAGAAGTCTCAACAGAAGAATTATTAGTACAAACCTAAATGCTGAAAGAAACTTGGTGAGCTCAGTATACTGGGATCCATTTCCCTACTACATTCATTTAGAGTTTCAAATTCACTCTAAACTCAGAATACTTTGCATGAACCACTTACAAACTTAGTAAGCTTCTCCTACAAAATCCATATTCACAAAGGCCCTGGTATTATAACGGGCTCTTCTTTTTTAAGTACCGTCTGCCTTGCTTCTTCCCCCACTCCCAGAGAACCATTCTTTTCCCCTCTCATCCTTCAAAATGCCCTAGATACCAAAAGTTATGCATGTGCATCCCTCCATACTCCTTACACACAAAATGGCTTGTTTGACTAGTAATATCCCAGTGATATTTTACATCCCCCCTGACACCCTCAGGCGGTTCCTACTCATTCCTTATCTTCTCTGGCCTCCTCAGGTATTTCTTGCTAGCACATAGTTCAGTCTGAGATAACTTCTCACAGGCTTTTACATGAGCAGTGGACTGCACAGTTGCGACTGCACAGCATTACTGTGCAGTACTGTCACCGCACAGTTTTTTCTGATGCTACTGCACAGTATCTCATTACTATTGCACAGTAGTGTCGCATCACGGTTAGTGCCCAGCAATGCTACTGTGTGGCAGCAACAAGCTACTGCGCAGTAGCATCTCATGTAGATGTGCCCACAGACAAACTGGAGTAGAACCCACAAAGCATGGTAACATCATCTATATGGGGAACATGTGATGTTCCTCCCATTAATATGAGAAAAACTTGTCTAAAACAAAAATAAATTCTTGTCCCTAACTGGACTTCCACTTGGCAGTCTGAACAAAGCTGCAGAAGAAATCTCTATATTATTAGCATTCAGAGGCCTGCATTTTTATGTGAAAAGCAGCTTTGAGACTTCCAGCAACTTCCAGGCCCCTTCTGTAACAGCAGTAGCTCCATACACAATATTTTGCTGGTTCTATATCTGCAAACCAAGAGGGGAAGAACCCATGCTAAATCCAGGATATATTTATACTGAAGTTAAAACATAGTTGCAGCTCAGGTTTTCCTACTGAGCTGGCTTTAAATGAGCGAACTTAGTATTGATAGTAATGCAGGCATCACAGACCAAGCTCAGCATGGATTAAACACCTGAGTTCAGGTTCCTAGAAGAGAGTTGTCTGTGCTGAATCCTGTGCTGTTGTATTTGGCTCCACTGTTATTAGTACCAAACCAGCTAGTTCAAAGCTAGCTCAGGGATGTCTATATCAGCTCCAGTCACATGGGTTTCCCCTTGAAGGCTGACAGAGTTCCAGCCTGCAAGGAGCTGGGGAAGAAGGGGAGTGTAATCAGAGGCAGGGGGCACCATGTGCAGATGTACATGCATGTGACAGCTAGGCGCATCTAGGGGAGTCTGAGACTGCAGGTTGGGAGTGAGGGGCACTGACAGGGCAAGAGGGCTGTGGGTTGTGAGTGAGGAGCCATGCTGAGGAAACGGGGTCATAAATGGGGTCATGCTGAGGAAACGTTTGGAAAGCACTGCCCTAGAGATGGTCGCTGGGACAGCAGGAAAACTGGGAAGGGCCAAATGATTAAATTTGTTATCTCTAAATATAGGAAAAGTTAAAAGGAGGAGGAAAAAGGACGTGTGGCCTAGCAGGAAGATAACCAAAACTGGGGACATAGGTCCTTTTAGTAGGAAGCTGAAAAGAGGGGACTGGAAAGTTGTGAGTCCAGCCCAAACCTTCTCTGTTCAGGTCCAAATAGAAAACCAGGTAAGTTTTCATTAGCTTTAGCCTTTGCTAAGAAATGGTTGCCTATATTCCCCCAAATCCAGTCAATCCTTTTAATTCATAGGATGCAATAGAAAGATTAGAAAAAGGAGAGAGTCCTGTGTTCCTGGAATCCAGAGCTATATGCTTTATCTAAGCGTGGATGCTTGAATTATGGGATAAAAAGGGGATGGTGCAAATGGAGACTGACATTTTTCTCTGCACTCGGCACTTCTGCTTTGATTTGACACTGTTAGCTATGGACAGGTACAGTTTCTCTCTTCATGGGTCCACTGATTTGTTAATGTAACTTCTGTCATGCTGCTGCAGTGGATTCTCTCTCTCAGGGGAAAGAAGCAGAAGAGAAAAGATGAGTAGTATACTGCACAGCAACCTTTAAAGCTATTGGTGTTTTAAGCATGTTCAGGATGTCACTGTGATTAAAGGCAAATGACACATGCATGCTGATGTTTTCCCTTTCTGTTTTTGAAGGACATCTGCACTAGTCTAACTCTCTAGCAGTGCAACATTACCACCACAGAGGACCTATATTTTGATGCTGAGATCATTCATTTCTCCTTGGGTTGATAAGATTGTGAGGAAGAAAAGACCTTACAAAGCTTTCCATCTATCCCCTGTGGACAGGTTAAGGAGAAATCATTGGGGGAGAGTGAGATTCTGTCAGAGGAAGGAATGTTCCCTTGATATGGGTCATTTAAGCAATTAGGCTTTTATTTTCTACACCAGATATTTACTTGTGAGATTCTTTACAAAATTGATGATTAGTAAGATTAAGAAGACCAATGAAGAAATAGAAGCATTAAGACATGCAAAACCTAGTTCTTGCTGATTAAGCCCATTAAAGAGTGCCTTGAACAACTAAATAACAGTCCATAGAGCTGGAACTGTATCTTAAGGAATCTTAAAGAAAGGTGTCTCTTCATAACATTTAGTTTTTAAAATAATGATATATCAGGAAATGTAATGGTTTTACCTGTCATATTCTCTCCATATCCAGCGCTGATTGGTATCATCAGGTTTCTTTTCCACCAACACAACTTTAGTCCCAGCATGTATGTCACTATCATTGACCCCCAAAACAAGATCTGGTAATGCTATGGCTATAATTTGTTGGTCTCTAAACTCAAACTTCTGACGGTGACCCTTCTGAAACTCTGTTTTCAGTTTTGGTTGAGGTCTGGAAAAAAATTGTGTTTAAGGATAGATAATACTCTGCAAATTTCACACATCAATGAATTTAATTACTCACAAAATAGTAGTGTGAGAAAGACAAATAGAAACTGTAGAATCTTGGTCAATGTATTGACCTGTGCTCTTACATTTAAAATAAATGATCAGGAGTACATAAACTAAGAAGAAAATTCAAGAAGCAAAAATGTTTTGGCAATATCTTTTATTGGACCAGCTGTATACTTGAAAGAGATGTTAGACAAGCTTTTGGGCCCAAAATGCCCTTCCTTAGGTGTGGAAAAAACCTGACCACCACAGTTACAACACTTCAATCCTACTATGAAGAAAAAAACATGCATTTGTGGACAGAGAGAAGAATAGGGAAGGAGGAAATAAGAAGCATCAAAAGAAAAGGACCAACAGATGGAAAAATATTTTGAAGACAGTTCTCCAATGGTACAGTTCTCCTGTGGCTCTCCAACTTTCAAGAGGAGCACAAAGAGTTAAAGACCACCTTCATTTTGGCTAGGTTTTGCCTCAATCTACTTTGAAAGCAGGAATCTCAAGGTTTGAGAGATTGAAAGTCCCAATTTATATGTAGTTCTGCATGTCTCTTCACCCCATGTTTTTAACTAAGTTATTCCAGTAAAATTTAGTTATTTAGATAATATGATAGACAACTCGGAACTCCAAGGAAATGAATGACTGCATCCTGCAAATACAGTGTGGACAAAATCTAATAGGGCTATATTATTGTATCTCAATAAATTTTCATATGACAGTTTGATTGTTTTGCATTTGATAACTTAGTATTTTGTTTCCTTTCTACCCCTTTTTTCTGTTCTTCTCTTTCCACTTTTGGTCATCTACTAATATCTATCATCCTGCCCTCACATTTCTCCCTGTTTTCCTTTCTCAAGTATTCTGTTTTTCTTTGGCTAAGAAATACCTCTAAATAACTCTCAATTGTCCTTGACATCAAAGGCCTGAATTTTAAAGCCCAGGCTCACACCTACAATTTGCTGTGGTATATAATGGGCACAATAAACTGTCCACAAAAGTCTTCATTTACACCTCAAAATAATCATGCCTGCAACACTGCTCCTGCAAAAGGATGACAGGGTTAAGGATCCTTTAAAATTAAGTAGAAATAATTAATTTTTCAGTTTATTTAGCAGGAAACAAGATGTTAATGGATGTTGTACATCTAACTCCTTGTACATAGTTCTAAAAACTACT